AATTTGTGAACGGGTGTGGAACGGACGCAGTTGAAAAATTATATCAGTTTTGAACGGGCTCGGAACGGAGTTCGAAATTTTGAACGGGGTTCCGACGCACGTTCCATGTTTTTTTTTCGCGCTTGGGCTTGTACATTTATAACTTGGATTGACTATCTGCATCTATTGATTTGTTAACATATAGTCCTAGATCCAGTTTTTTACGGGCTTTCATTTGGTATAAAATTCATTAGGTACCTACTTTAAAATCACGTCGTTACCCCTCTGGAAAAAGGTTATGCAACACCCTGTACTACTTAGAGTATAAAATGACTCTAATATAACAGAAAAGATCATACTACTTTAAACCAGCGTGTTTTTTAAAATGGTGAACACCAAGCTAACTAGTAAACAGCAAACAACAGTAATATTATCATCATCCGTAACCGATAAAAATGTGCACACAACGAATACTCTAGTATTGCCAAATGATAACAATCTAGATTCGTCACGAATATCATCAAAAGTATGGAACTATTTTACAAGAAGCGACAACGTAAAAGTTCTTCAAGCTGAATGTAATTTATATCACGTTCGAATAAAAACAAAGAATTGAAACAGTGATCACACAGAACTGGATCCAGTGATCACACAGAAATGATGACTATTGAATGATCATAAAATGATTATTTTTATCTGCTAAAAAAACGGTCTGAATTACGACCGAATAATGATACCGTTTAGGGGATAAAAGTGACTATTAATGACCAACAACTGGTCAATTAATTGGCAATTAATGACTGATTAATGAACCATAAATGAGCCATTTTTTATCTCGTTTTTCATTGTCATGGACATGCTCTGAGATGTGTCAATATCATTAGAATTATTTTGAGTTACCATTATTAATTCAAAAATATTTTGTGTAACTTACCGAAGTTGTATATCTCAAACCTTTGAATAATGATTCTTGTGCATCTCGATGAACACTATCGAATGAAACTATTATCACGCTTATCGGTTCGGCTGACTGACAAACAACAAGCATTTTTAACTTTAGAATGTTATTTCTTTCTTAAAATGTTCCCCAGTTCTGACTAAACATTTAATAATTTCAATGGCATCATTGGATGAAGCTCGTTTCAGAGTATATATGGTGACAAAATCTTGATTCTATCTCATGTGGTTACGAAGAAAATCTATTTTTATTTTTATGAACTACTCAAAACTTTCCATCTTTTTTGAAACACCACATACTTTTAAAATGCATGCAACTCTTGAACGATATATTTATTTGAGCCGAGACCTGCAGGCTGTCCCTGTCTAGTCTAGATCTACATACTGCATGCGTTTCGTCAAAAGCGGTGTTAGTCGTGGAACAACGACGTGTTGAGCAGAAAAAAGTTTTATTTGACGATCCCGGTTTTCAAGGCTTCTAGAAAACTTGCTCAAAAACCATGTAAAACCAGTTCTAGACCCGAAAGCAATACAGATTCTGAAAGTAGACACTTCGGGCTATCTTTCCATATGTTTGTCTCCAAATTGATTTTTTGATACAAAAAGATTTCATTCCGATGGGGCCCTTAAATAGAGAAACAGCACTACTTTCAATCACAAACGATACATTCATCTACAAAATGAAGATTATTCCACTCCTTAATAGTAGAGCCATGTACGTTACAACTTTTCATAACATATAACCTGTCCTGTAAAAACTTTAACAACCTATAACCTTTCATACTCGTATACCTCGTAACCCGTAATCTGTCTTAATCTGCAATATGTTTCGCGTAACCTGTTCTATCCTGTCCTACGAAAAAATTACTGCAAAAAATGAGTACTCAAGTTCGAAAATTTTTCCTAATAAAGTAAATTCTTTTCATTTACTTTATTTATGCATCAAAAAACAATAACAAAAGATCACACATCTCTGAAATTTCTGATGAATAATACATCATCAACAACATCTGGATTCAACGCTTGTCTTCGTGTTTTCAGTACTCTTCTCCTGATGCACTAAATATTTTTTTGACTAATAAAAACAATTTTTCGAGTTCTTATTTCTTCCTATTTACAGATGGCGCTTAATGTTTTTTTACAGGTTGAAAACAGGGTACGGGTAGTGTAACGTGTAGCCTATCCTGTAAAAATTTTCGTAATATATAACCTGTCCTGAACTGGGACGTCGTAACCTAAACCTGTCCTAACCTGCCAGGACAGGACAGGTGGGCTGTACTCAACAGTATATGTTAGAAAAGAAGCAGCAAAAGACAATTTATAAGCGGACATAAAATTTTATTGCCGAGCTCCCGTATTCCATTGGAAGTATCGATTATCAGAAGACGTCACAAGATCAAAATGGAAGAGAACTGACTGATTGTGAAGGATTTTTCATAGATACTGAAAACGTGCTGACAAACATTAAAATCCAAGTCTCTCTTCCATAGCAGCAGAAGGACGATAATAGTGCTTATAAATGGTAGAGCTGCTAACAGCCAATCAGAATTGAGAGCTTCCGTTACTTATAGAAGTCTCCTCGCTGTATTTAACCATTTTAAATCATGACTCAGAATCAAACCAAATAAAACATATTCACACAGACCCTTTGGAATATTTTCTCCTGAGCTGTTTCGAATTAAGAGTGTTAGGTTCATATAAAGTTGTACTATTTACTTTCTTTAATTAACCTTTTCTGACTTGCTGAAAACCTACACAAAGCGTTTTTCAAGACAAAAAATTAGTTCAATCAAAAAATCAGATTTTAGTGTGCTACGGTAAAGTTTAGCTTTTATACAAAATTAGAATTAGAAACAAATGTAGACATTCTGATTTCGCCACTGGTTAGGTCAATGCCACGGCTACCTTTAATGACGATATGAACACTCCTATCCGTTTTCAAAATTCCTGTGAACCTCATGATATCAAGAGTGATGATGCAGTCATCTTTTTTCTCTGATGTTTTAGTCGTGTCAATAATAGTTAGTTTTTCTATTTTGACATCATCTGAAATAAATGCGGTCTCTAGAATTTGATCAATTGAATGTTTGTGCAGTTTACAGTTGTGCTCATTCTTTTATTCTGTAATATAAATCAAAGAAAATTGGTGGCGTGAGACCAAAAGAAGAGATAAGTAATAGAGTAACTCACATACAGTTATGGTCAATATAATGTTTTTTTTACTGAAGATGGACCGAAAGTGTGTAGAAGAATTCAACCGACGTATGCGACACATGTCCTCTGAAATCTCTCTGACATTAACTATGCCGGGTTCTCACTAGAGAAGTCATTAGTGTATTGGAACTCATGTTTTGAACAATTTGTGTCATCAGACGCTAGTTTAATATTAGACGTAGTTTGACTAACACTATCACCTCTTAAATCAGCCTTGTTAAGAAAGCCTAATGCGGATACGGTGGTGGAGCTGATGGTACAATTGCAGAAATTGTATTGTGTGTAGGCTCGCCTGGATAAATTGGATAAGTTGGATAAGCTGGATATGTTGGATAAGTTGGTTGTGGTGGCATAGAATATGGATATTGAGGTTGTTGTTGCCCGTATGGATAATACACAGGCTGATACTGTTGATATTCCGTGTTGTTATTATTTGCGATGGGCACTTCACGACCAATCAGTCTACAACATAGGACAATGTTTTTTAAAAAGGTGATATATTGAATCAGATGAATCTTACTTTTGTCTGTGTGCTCTTTGTAAATTAAAATCTTTAATTGGATGATACCAGTTCATTGGTCGGGCCTGAATTTGTTCGTAAGGCCAATCTTGTCTCCATATAATTGTCGATAATTCAGGTGGATTGTGTACTCGGAGATTAGCTTGCATTGCAATTGTATTAAACATATATTCAATAAACGGCAAAAAACCACGATATTTAGCATATTTCGATATTTCATTTAACAATCGACGACTCACACCAATTGCGCACACCATTGAATGATACCATGGTAGCTGAAACTTGCCTTGAGCATCATGCCAGTGTGCCCATGTGTCCAAACGTCCATTCGGATTATGATCATTTTTCTGACAAACTAAATCATACTGACCACTACTGGCTTGATCATTGAGTGAAACAAGCGCCTGCACACTAGGAATAAATGTATCATCTTCAACTAACCAAACAAAATCGTATTCGATTTTCTTCATGCAAAAAAAGTAGATCGATTTATCCCACGACATGCATTCTTTTTGTAATACCAAATGACTCGACATTTTATATCCATGAGAGCAACATTCCGCGTTGTCAATACGAACAAATTGAAAATAATTATTATAACCTTCAGGTGGTTGATAGGTATTATCATCAATCATAATGTACACATCGATCGTCGACTGTTGCTCGCCGATTTCTTTTGCAAACCGGATGATTTCTTCGTGTGGCGTACGAGTCAGAAAACATACAGCACATTTTCGTTTGTTTTTCGTCTCAAGTTCGTGATTATTGCTCATTGTAGAAAAGCAAAAAAACAGGAGATATAAATCTATTACTTGTTAAACTAAAAGTAAAATTCATAATGAAAGAATCTTTGCTCTAACTTGTTTACCTAGGTTTTCAGAATATTATCTTTTCTGTGTAGTAGAATATGGTAAAGATTATGATTCAAAAAAATTCATCTATTTCCTCAGAAAGTTTAGAAATTTAAAGTTATTACCTCACCTCAAACTAAACGTACAATAGTCTCGTTTTTAAACAGTGTTTATTCTGTTGTTCTTTTTTCATTTTATATATATATACTTTTTCTTATCTTTTTTTTCTACGTTTTTCTCCATCGTGAGAAATCAAACAGGCACACACATACCTTTGTTTTCTTCTATTTCGATTACTAATTCATATATTACAATAAATATTGACCATCATTGAATAATGTACAGTGCATAATAAATAGAGATAACACAACAGCACTTTACTATGTGAATAATATTCAGAGGGTTGATAGAAAAAGAGTAAGAGTTTTTTTTAAAAAGAAAAATGGAAGCAATAGAATCTGAAAGAAATTGTTATGTGTAAAGAATGCTGACGAAGGATAGAAAATAATGATTCTGAACTATCTCAAACTTTTCTATGGTAGATCATGTAAAAGAAAGTGATTTGAGATAAAACCGCTACAGAACGAAGTAGAATAAGTTTCCATACAGATGGAAAAAGTCGTTCGCGGGATGCGGCGAGTACTCGAAAATAGGCTCTCGCCGAGGACTCGATCCCTCGAAAAATGGAACTTCGAACCCTTGATATAAGCGTTCGACGGTTTATCGCTTTCGAGACCTCGGGTTTCAGACAGGTAGCGAGCCTCTGACTTCTCGCTGCTTGAGGATGCGATTTTCTGGACTTTCGAGTGCTCGCTCGTCCGAGAGTGTGATGAGACTCGGAAGTCCCGAATATTTGTGTTCAACGACTCATGATTTTTCTCGAGGACTCGCTGCCTATCTGAAACCTGAGGACTCGAAATTGATACCCGCTCGAACGTTGATATCGAGAGTCCGAAGTCTCATTTTTCGAGGGATCGAGTCCTCTGCGAGGGTCCATCGAAAGCATATTTTCGATCACTCGAAATAGCTCTGGAACAAACGGTTGGGTTAGTCTGATATTCTAGTGGTTCTAGCTAACATACTCTCTCAATTGTATGTCACAGAATTTATTGCGTGCGTCATAAGGAACTCGATGACCTCTATCTGCCTGTGTTATTTCTAACCATTCGAAACTTTATATGAATGAGACAAACTGAAACGAACACATTTTTCTTACAACATCCAGTTCATGAAATTATTATTCTTATTGTCAAACATTCTCTGTCGAACGCACATCATCAAGAGCTCGACGAGATCTACAAATTGTAATATTTGATTATTTTGAGCTCATTGCTAAGCCCTTAGAAAATGCCAAATACAATAATGTACACTTTTTTCTTTTCTTCGTGTTTTCACCACAAATCTTTTCACCATCTCAATTCAATACTTCAGTGAAAGTATCTACATGAATTGAACGAAGATCTCGTCGAGCTCTTCATGATGTGTTATATTGTAATCTTGACACACGTTCGACAGAGAATGTTTGATAATGAGAATAATAATTTCATGAATTGGATGTAGTAAGAAAAATGTGTTCTTTTCAGTTTGTCTCATTCATGTGAAGTTTCGAATTATTATCCGTAACACAGATAGATAGAGATCATCGAGTTCTCTGTGACGCACTTAATAAACTCTATGATATACAATTGCGAGAGTATGTTGACTAAAACCACTAGAATATCAGAGTAATTTATCCTAGGTAAGATAACTGACTTGTGTGTCCAATTCTATGCCATACATCAAATACTTTTGCCTGTCTGTCTTGTGATGATGTGCTAGCTTTATGTGTAGGTGTATCAGAAATGACTATGTATGCTTTCTGTAATAGGTCTATTAAACGGCCTTATATAAAATATTCAGAGGTTGTAAGACTTTGAAATCTGATTGATTCATTTGAATATTTTGATGTTAATTAACAAATAGTTAATTGGTCTCACGTAATGTAAAAAGTAAATGTCGCTTTTGTAATTTTTTTCTAATATCATCGTCTTTCACAGTGATGCTGTCCAGTTTTCCGGAAACTCGTCAGCTAACGTCATCACGCACAAAAAATGACTAGACAGCATCAACTATTGTGGATCATAGCGATTTTCTTTCACGCTAAGATTTACACTAATTTGTTCAATAACTTCAATTTATCGACATTTATTCAATGGTACACTGTAATGTCAGGAATTATTTATAGAAAATGCTCGGCGATTTTCAAAAAGCCCATATATAAATTCTCTGAGGATTTTCTAGATTCTAGAAAATCGAAATTACAAGAAACTTGAAAATTCGATCTCGATTTTCCAGAATTCAGAAAATTCGACGCCGAATTTCTATAAATAATTCCCAAGATTCTTGAAATTCGATGTCGAATTTCTAGTTCGATTTTCTAGACTTATGGAAAATGCTCAGCGATTTTCAATCTGGAAATTCCTCTGCGATTTTATATATGGACTTTTGGAAATTCGAAAAATGAAATTAATTTCCAGTTATCTGGAAAATC